CAGAGCCACCTGGGGTTTTAAAACTCTGTTGGGGCCCATCCCTGCAGGCCCAACAATCTTTCAAGCCTATCTTGTCCCGACCCACCGGCTGGGCAGCCTGCCACGGGCTGAAGTCTGACGCGGCTGCCTTTCCAGGGTCACCTCCTGAAGTCCTCTTCGCCAGCCTGCAGAAATGGGGCAGGAGATGATGGGGACAGCGCAGGCCTCGGCCTTTCCCAATGCCCACGGGACTGTGACTCAAGGCCACTTCTGGGCACAAGCCCCTGAAGCCTGGCCTTCCCGTGTCCTCCCCCTCCCTCTGGCTCCTCCCGTCGGGTGCCTGGTTCACCTCAAATGCGGTGTCCACAATCTCATCAATGACAGCTGCCTGGGAGCGGAATTTCTGCTGGTAATGCTCCACCCCAGCCGCCAGCTGCAGGAAGTGGAACAGGAGCTCCTGCTGCCTGGGAAGGGAGTGAGGCAGAGCCCTGACTGGGTGGACCTGCCTGGCTGGGCCATCTTGGTCCCCAGAGCCCCAGAGCCCCCCAGACAGTTCTTCTTGCTTGCCCCCTTCCTCCCAACTTACATTACCCTAGGGCTTCCTTTCCATCCACGGCCACCATGTTTCTGTGTGTGGCCCTTCCCTGGCCCCACCATCTGTCTGGACCACAGCAGATTCTGACGATTAACTGTTTACCTTCCAATCACCCAACCCTCCATCAGTCCACCCACCTCCTGCCCCTTCAGCTACCCCCTACTGACTCATGCACCCACTCAGCCACCTACCCACCCACCCACCCATCTGTTTAGCTATTCACTCACCCGTCAGACCACGCAACACTTTCCCTCACTCATCCATACTCCCATCCACCTGCTCTTCCCTGGCCCCACACGCCCACCCCTTACCTAAACCTCACCCTCATGGACTACCCATTCATTAACTCCTTTGCTGCCAATTTGTCTTATCAATCGGTCCATCAGATAACACCGAAATCAATGAACATTGCCAGGTGTGCCAAGGATGTAGAAATGAGCGAGAAACAGCCCCTGCCCTGGAGAAGCTCAGTCTGTGGCGGAGCCAGGAAAGCAAACCAAGCATGTTTACACCTGTGATAAGTGTGAACACGGAGCACTGAGGGGCCCAGAGGAGGAAGCCTCCCCCAGTACTGGGGGTGAGGAAAGGTTTCTGGAGGAAGTGCCGCTGAGCTGAATTTGAGTGTTTGCTGAGCTCAGACAGGGCTCCTGGTGCTCCAGGTCTGTGAACAGTGGGGAGTGATCTGGGGGCTGAGGTGGGCCTCAGGGAGGGAGGTTTTAGAGAACGGATGAATTGAAGGTGGAGACATCCAGGGAAGGTCACAGCAAGGCACCTGACCCTTAAACTAAGGGAGGCAGGAGCCCCTGCAGGGAAGGCAGAAAAGGCCAAAACTTCTTCCAACAAAGATCACTCTTTAAGTCAATAAAAAGAAAAAGAAAGGGGAAAAAAAGATGAGAACAAACCAAACCACAGCAAACCAAAGACACTCTCAGTGGAGGTGGAGGTGGACCAGTGGAGAAGAGACCAGAGGCCAAGAAACCCCCACGGCAGGTATCACAGAGGTGCCAAGGATCCAGACCAGGCTGAGGGCCAAGGAGCTGGAACCTGGAGGGAGGACAGGAGGTGAAACAAGCAGGATTGGAACTCAGCTCTTCTAACTCTTAATCACTTGAGCCTGGTGTCTGTCGGCAGCCAGAAAACATTGCAGGCGGAGAGAACAGTGTGGGCAAAGGCCTCAGGAAGGGCACGTATGTGTGATGCTGTGGGTAAAGCCAGGATGCGACGGGGTAGTAGCAGCTGCCATGATCATGGAGGCCTTGGGGCTTGAGCTCTGTTGGTGGGTGAGCAGAACCTGGAGGGTGCCAGCTGTCGGGCTGGTTTGGAGCCAGTCTGGATGCGGTGGGGTGGGCCCAGCTTTCAGGAAGAAGGCTCTCTGGGGAGCCAGGCCTGACAGCAGGGGCCAGGAGTCTGCGCCAAGGACCCCCCAGCCATGAGCACAGCCACGCATCCCCAGGAGTCCTGGCCCAGCCGGCCGCTCACGTTGACAGGAAGGGCTGCTGACCATCTGCCTCCCCTGCATTTACCTAAGCTGATCCCCAACCCACCGTCCTCTTCCCTCCACCCAGCTGAAGCCCACCAGCCCTCCGTGGCCCAGCGCAGTCTACAGAGGTGGGGCCCTCACAGGCAGGTGCCAATTGTGTCCTCTTTGGGTCTCTGGAGTCATCGCAGAACCTAGCCCAGAGCAAGGATCAGGGATGCTGCTCGAGTAAAAAAGTGAGCAGAACTCCCATTCCTCCAGCATCTCGCCACTGCCCCTGCCCCGGGTGGTCAGGCTCATAGGGGCTCTCATGGCCCTTTAGGTGCTGCTGGGAGGATTCACTTGATGGCACAAGATGACTCAGGGTGAGCAGAAGCCACTCAAGGTCACCACGTCCCATAAGCCTTAGTGCTCTGCTTCCAGAGAGGTGGGCAGTGCCCCTTCCCCTGCCAGCCCAGTGGTCAGGCCCCCAGACTACTCCCCTTAGACCTGAGGCCTTGCCTCCCTTCATATCTCCTTACTTCTCAGTCATGGTTCCAAATTTTTTCTCGATGAGCTGCTTCTGTCTAGTGTGTTCACTCAGCGCCTCTTCTGGCTCTGGATGTAGAGAAAGGAGGAGGAGGTCAGGGAGACGCCTGGATTGAGAGTGGGTGGAGGGAATCCCCTGTGTCCTGGAGACACTCAAACAGGGGTCAGGGTTTCCTGTTTGTTTGTTTGTTTGTTTTGTCTAGAATGTCCCCAAAGAGATTGCTTCTCTGGGCATGGAGTATGTTTTGTTTGTTTACTGGTCCATCATCCATTTCTTCTTCTTCTGGTAAAAGTCTCCCAATTTTCCTGAGGACCCACTCCCACCCCTTTTGGTGGACTGTTGTCTAGCTGGGGTTGACCACCCACAACTCTAAGGACATGTGACTCAAGCCTGGCCAATCAGAACAGCCTAGCCTTTGGGTTACAGTGATTGGTTCAGAAATAGTCAGGTGATTAATCTGAGCCAAAGAGATTCATTTCTGGGACTTTGTTGGAATGGCTGGGAGAAGAGGACCTCTCTGCTGGGAGAGCTGTGTTTAGCTAAACTGTGAGAATTTGGGACTAGAGTTGTAGGTGGTCATATTCCCACCACAAGGGAAGAGCACCCTAAGCACAAAACCAGAGAGTTACAGAGCAGAGAAATGGAAGGAGACCAACTCTCAAGCAACATTGGGTCCTGGATCCAGCCATTCCTGAAAGCCCATGAACTCCCAAGTTGCTAAGTAGTTTGAGACAATTTTTCTTTTTGCTTAAGCTTTTTTTTATTTTTTAAAATTTGTGTATTTATTTTACAATATCATATTTTTAAATTGAAGTATAGTTGATATACAATATTATATGTTACAGGTATACAATATAGTAATTCACAAATTTTTAAAGATTATATTCCACTTATAGTTATTATAAAATATTGGCTATATTCCCCATGGTGTACAATACATCCCTGTAGCTTATTTTATATCTGATAGTTTGTACCTCTTCATCCTCCACCTCAGTCTTGCCCCTCCCCCTTTCCTCTCCCCACTGGTAACCACTAGTTCCTTCTCTAATCTGAGTCTGTTTCTTTTCTGTTATATTCACTTGTTGTATTTTTTAGATTCCACATGTAAGTGATATCCTACAGTATTTGTCTTTCTCTGTCTGACTTATTTCACTTAGCATAATGCCCTCCAAGTCCATCCATGCTGTACACCAGAAACTAATATAACATTTTAAATCAACTGTACTTCAGTCAAAAAGCAAACAATCAACCCATTTAAAATATAGGCAGAAGAACTGAACAGATATTTTTCCAAACGAGGAAATGCAGATGACCAACAGGAACATGAAAAGTTGCTCAACATCACTAATATCATGGAAATGCAAATCAGAATCACAATGAGACACTATCTCACAGCTGTCAGAATGGCCATCATCAAAAAGAACACAAATAACAAATGTTGGCAAGGATGTGGGGAAAATGGAACCCTTGTACACTGTTGGTGGGAATGTAAATGGGTGCAGCCACTATGGAAAACAATATGGAAAGTTCTCAAAAACCTAAAAATGGAACCACCATATGGCCCAGCAATTCCATTCCTGAGCACATATCCGAGAAAAACAAAAACATTAATTCAAAAATACACATACACCCTGCTATTAACAGCAATGTTATGTATAATTGCCAAGATATGGAAGCATCCTAAGTGCACATCAATAGATGAATGGATGAAGAAGATACAACATACATATGTAATGGAATACAACTCACCTATAAAAAAGAATAATATTTTGCCATTTGCAGTCCTTCATTAACTTTTTTTTCACTGCAAAAACCAGAATTTTATAACTGGCATAAACATTTCCATTGCATCAAAAACAACTAAATACCTAGAAATAAACTTAACCAAGGAGGTTACCTATTCTCTGAAAACTGTAGAACACTGATGAAGGAACTTGAAGATGGTACAAAGAAATGGAAACACATCTTGTGCTCTTGGATTGGAAGAATCAAAATTATCAAAATGGCCACACTAACCAAAGCATTCTACAGATCCAGTGTAACCCCTGTCAAAACACAATATTTTTCATAGAACTAGAGCAAACAATTCCAAAATTTATATAGAACCACAAAAGACCCTCAATTGCCAAAGCAATCCTTTGTAGGTCTTTTTTTCTTCTCTTTCTTTTTGTTCTTTCTTGTGGTTTGATGACTAGAAAAGTTCCTGTAACATTTGTTGTAAAGCTGGTTTGGTGGTGCTGAATTCTTTTAGCTTTTGTTTATCGGTGAAGCTTTTGATTTCTCCATCAAGTCTGAACGAGAGCCTTGCTGGATAGAGTATTCTTGGTTGTAAGTTTTTCCCCTTTCATCAATTTAAATATATCGTGCCACTCTCTTCTGGCCTGTAGAATTTCTGCTGAAAAATCAGCTGATAACCTTGTGGGAGTTCCCTTGTATGTTATTTGTTGCTTTTCTCTTGCTAATTTTAATATTTTCTCCTTATCCTTAATTGTTGTCCATTTGATGACTATGTGCCTTGGTGTGTTCCTCTTTGGGCTGATCCTGTGAGGAACTCTCTGTGCTTCCTGGACTTGGGTGACTGTTTCCTTTCCCAAGTTGGGGAAGTTTTCAGTTATTATCTCTCCAAAAATTTTCTCAGGTCCTTTCTGTCTTCTCTTTCTGGGACCCCTATAATGTGAATATTAGTGTACTTCATGTTGTCCCAGAGCTCTCTTAAACTATCCTCATTTTTTTTTCATTCTTTTTTCTTTTTTCTGTTCTGTAGTAGTGATTTCCACTAATCTGTCTTCTAGTTCACTGATCCGTTCCTCTGCCTCATTTAGTCTATTCTTGGTTCCTTCTAGTGTGTTGCTCATTTCAGTGATTTTATTCTTCAACTCTGTTTGGGTATTCTTTATATTTTCCAACTCTTTGCTAAAAACCTAACTCTGTCTGTCTATACTCCTCTTGAGTTCTCTGAGCATCTTCGCCATCATTACTTTAAATTCTTTCTCAGATAAACAGCCTATCTCTTCATCACTTATTTTTTCTTCTGGGATTTTATCTTGTGCCTTGGCCTGGGAGATATTCCTCTGCTGCCTCACATTGTTTATCTTGTATTTTTAGGTAGCTTAATTATGTTTCTTGACACTGAAGAGGTGGCCGTCTGTGGAAGACATCCTATACATCCCAGCAGTACACTCCTCTCTCGTCACCCAAGAGCCAGGGTCCTTCCAGTCCCAGGGTAGAGTCTGGCCTGTGTTTGTGGACTCCTTCCATAGGCTTTGGGATTGTTGTTTTCTTATTTCTAATATCTGCCCCTGGTGGATGAGGCTGGACTAGAGGTTTATGCAGGGTTCCTGGCGGGGGAGTCAGTGCCTGCCCACTGCTGCGTGAAGCTTGGTCCTGGGCCTCTGGTGGGTAGGGCCCACCTGTGTCTAGAGGTGTCTGTGGCTCAGGAAGCCTGCTGATGGGGGGGGGGAGCTGTGTTCCCAACCTGTATGTTGTTTGGCCTGAGGCTTCCCTACAGGCTGTTGCGTGGGGCTGGGTCTTGGTGCGAATGATCCAATCAAGATATCAGCCTCCAGGAAAGCTCATGTAGGTGAACACCCCCAGAATGTCTTCCATCAGCTTTTATGTCCCCGGGTGAGCTATATCCATCCCCTACCTCCCCAGGAGACCTTCCAAAACCAGCAGGGAGGTCTGGTCCAGGTTCTATGAAATCACTGCCTCTGCCCTGGGACCTGGCTCATGTGAGAGTCTGTATACACTTCCGAAGAGAATGAAGTCTCCGTTTCCCCCAGTCCAGTGGGGCTCCTGGAGCTAAGCCCTACTCGCCTTCAAAACCAGATGTCTTGGGGTCTCCTCCTCCTCTCAATGCCAGAACCCTGGGCTGAGGAGCCTGACGTGGGGCTTAGAACTCTCACAACTGTGGGAGGGCATCTGCAACTTAACTATTCCTCAGCTTGTGGGCTGTCCACTCGGAGGTCTGGGGCCCAGTTACATCGTGAGCACACCCCTCCTACCGTCACGCTGTGGTGCCCTCTTTATGTTTCCAGTTGAAGAAATCTTTTTTGCTAGATTCCAGTCTTTTTCCCGATGGTTGTTTAGCAGTCAGTTGTGGTTTTGTTCTTTGCTTAAATTGTTTTGCACTGAGTGTCCATGATGGAGAGTGTGGGAGAGAGGCCAGGTGACCCCTAAAGGCCCTTAGTCTCCAGAGTTAATGATCCTAAGAGTGGCATTCTGGGGCTCAGATTCTAAAGTTCTGAAGATCTTTAAGCAGGAGGCAAAGAAATTGGCTCAAAATCTTTTCACCTGGAAAGTCAGATGTGTAAAAACGAACATGTACAGGAAACTTCATTTTGTAGGCCCTCAGTCCAGTTGGAGTGAATCTGGACAAGCATGGATAGCATCTTGAAAATACCCTCAAGACAGCTGAAACCACCCCACATAAGACCAACTCTATAATCTTTGTAAGTTCTTCATAGAAATAATGTTTGGCAAATCATAATTGACTAATTAATTGCTTTGCAAATGGGTCTTTCAAGAATTGACTATCAGTTTAATTGGCTTTTGGAGGATTGTCTTAGTGCCCTTGGGACCAAAGCTGTAAGCTCTGAAAGTTCGCCTGAGTCTTGGACTCTAAAGCTGGGTCTGGAGCTCTGTATCTGCTGGGAGGATGGGGGTGCTGGTACCTGCTTCAATGAGCTCCCTCAGTGAGTCATCCAGTAGATTCTCGTGGACCTGGGTGGCCTCCTGGGAAGAAAGAGGCCGGAATCCTGCCAGAGTCCCATGTCTCCTCATCCCTGGAGCACCCTCCTCCCTTCCCTCCAGCTTCTGTGCCCCTCCTCCTGTTTTCCTGATTGGTCCACCTGCCCCACCCAACTCGGTACCTCCTGCTTCACTTTCTCCAGGCCTTTGAGCAGGGCCATCTGGAAGTTATCCACCAGGACAGCAATCACCAGGCTGGGGTGGAGACAGTGGGACACTCTCAAAGAGGAGGCCATAGGCAAGGCCCTGCACCCTCCTCTGGATTCACTGTGGTATAACCATGGTGAAAGGGGAGGGGTGGGACCCGGGGTTAGATGTTGTGGGGGTAAAGCTGGGGAGCACAAGGGTGGGGTCCTCACTTGAGGAAGATGAAGTATTGGATGATGATATAAATCATGAGAATGGGGATGATGTACCAGGCACCTGGGAGAGAGGGCGTTGTTTGAGCTGTGAGTTCTTTGCCAGCACTCCCCATACCCGTGTCAGCAAGCATCAGAAGCCCCACCTGGCAGATAGGGTAACTGAGCCCTCTGGGTCTGCCCACCCAGCCAGACCCTGCCCTCCACTCAGCCTGAGGTCTGCCCCACCCTGGGCCCGGCTGTCCATGTAGATGAGGGACCAGTCATCCAGGGTGAGCAGGGTGAAGAGTGTGAAGATGGTGGTGAAGATGTTCTGGAAGCGCTTCGGATCAGATTGGCGGAATAGCGCCCGGAACACCACAGAGAAGAGGACTGGTTGTTCAGGGCCAAACCTGGCACACAGAGTCCCCATCTCCCCCAGTTTCCCCCTCCCCGCCCCCTGCCAGCTCTTGGTCCCTCCCTGCAACTCCATCCAGCCCAGCACCTCATGCTCCCACCCCAGACCGCGTGGCATGGATACAGAGGCAGGTAAACATGAGGATGAGGATGGCAGTGATGGACGGCAAGGACCGGGCCAGGGTCCCAGTCACTTCCTGGAGGCTGGTCAGGAAGCTGTGGGCAGAGGTTGAGAAGGAGGCTGAATCAGTGGAAGTGAAGATCTGTGCCTGGCAGCCAGAGTTGACCTGAGACAGGAGGTCCCTGATTTGTTAGTGACTTGGAAGAGTCCTGGCCCCTCTCTGGAAACTGAAGAGATAGATCCGAGTGGATGGCAGGAGGCTTATCAGGAAAGCAGGCTGGAGTCTGCGCCTCCCCATCCCTCATCGCTTGAACAGGTCACAGCAGATTCCTTGGGAGCCCAGGCCCATTGTTCCCTCTTCCTTCAGAGTCCCCACACCAGGGTGGGCAGCTGTGGTCCCGCTGACCTGAGCCTCCGCAGGACCCAGATAGCCCGCAATGTTCGCAGGCTCTTGAAGACCTTGACGATCCGGAAGGTGTTTTGGTTGTAGACGGCGTGTGTGATGGAGGGAGAGTTGAGATGCATGAGCATGAAGTCCAGCACAGCTAAGACCATGATGAAGAAATCTGAGGGCATGGGGAGGGGAGGGGGGCGGCTCGGTGTCACAGGCTCCTGCCTGGGCCCCTAGCCCAGACCCACAGTCCTCCCGGTGCCAATACCCCCTGCTTCCCACCACACAAACATATACACACACATGCACACGCACACACACACAGAGGCTCCACCCCTACCCACCCAGTTTGTTCCAGGGGTCAGAAAAATACTTGAGACCCAGAGCAATGATCTTGAGCACAGCTTCCACCACATAGATGCAGAGGAAAATGGAGTCCAAAGCCATGAAGTGCCACTCTGTGGGGACACAGGGGGCTTGCTCAAGGCCCTCCCCAGTGACCCCAGGCCTCCCCCAGTGACCCCAGCCCCTCACTCCTCCCCACTGGAACCACACACACAGCAATTTAAGGAGAACCTGGCTCTGCCCAACGGCTGTGTGTCTTCACTGCTCTGTGTCTCACTTTTGTTGTCTATCAAATAGTGATAATAAGTCTTCCTGATAGAGTTTCCATGAGCATTAAATGCATTTAACGTAGTAAAGGGCTTAGAATGGAGCCTGAAACAGCTTGCAAGAAACACCAGTCACTCTTCTTCTTCTCTCCTTAGTTGATGTGCCCTGTGGCAGGTCCTTTCCTTCACTCTGCTCCCCAGGTTTCAGGGGCCTCCTTCCCTGGTTTCCCACTCTCACCATCTCTTGGGTTCTGGGCATCCTTCTTGGGGAAAGCAGTGCACCTAGAGCTGACGCGCCACCTGGTGGCTGCAGTCATGAACAGTACATCCTCAAGTTGAGAGGGCTTTTCTGTCTCTGGCTGGCTGGCTGACTTCAGCAAAACTCTCTAAGCCTCACTCTAACGCAGCGGGGGTGGGGGTGGAGGATGGGATGCTGCCTACTTCCGAGGACCAAATGGCCCAAGTTCTATAAGTCACTAGGCACTTGGTCAGGCCCACAGGAGGCCTGGAACATCAATGGCCTCTTCCATATGAACGGGGCTCCCTAGCACTTACCGCCCCGGATCTCAACTTGAGCGAAGGTCTGGGCCACGAGCATGACGGTGTTGAGGCAGACAATGAAGAGGATGAAGCCTTCGAAGGCTAGGGACTCAGTCAGTCTCCTGAGCATTCTCCGGATGTCCCAAATGAAGAAGCTTAATTTTTCCCGCAACCAATAGAAGAGGTCCACAGCATGCAGCCTCCTGTGGGTCCGCTGGGCTGGGCCAGCTGCAAAGGGGCCAGAAAGCCAAGCCTGTGTGGAACGGGACACGAGGGTCCCGGGCACCCTCTCCAGCCTGCCTGCTTGCCTGCCATGTGCCTCCTTGCTAGTCTTGCACTAGTATTGGGGCCACAGGCTTGAGCCGTTCCCTGGCAAGTCAGCCTGATTGGGATTTGGGGTCTGCCTGGGCACATCACGGGGCTCATGCTCCTGCACCTCTATGCTTTTCTTTACTCACATGGCAGCTTGTACATGGAAGACCCCATCCTCCTGGTAAACTCTCTATCTCCAGGATTCTGTTGAAACATCTCCCCCTCTTGACTGCCCTCTCTACCCCCAAACAATTAGACACACGCCCTTCACTACCTGTTTGTGAGGCTGTTGCTGTGTTTACTGAACTACCGGGGGCCAAGTTTGGGGGATTGCATGTTATCAGTCAAAGTCCCTCTTGCCCTCAAACAAGACCCTCATTCAGGCGCTGGTTCCCAAACTCTGCCCTCAAGAAGCTCACAGTTTAGTGGGGGAAACGTGGACAAACAGAACCTACAGTGGTGACTGTTCCGATCTGGAGGATAGACCCCTATCACTGGGGGTGGTCTGGGTTTGGTTGTGTAAGTGACCACCCCCAGCTTTCACACTAGACAAGAGGAAACGTTTGAGAAGTGGACACACGAATAAAAGAAGCAGTGACTGAATGAACAAATGGCTGGCAGACTGAGGAGGTGCATAATTCCAGGAATAAAAGATTGGCTGATGGACAGTCAGGCGAGTGAATAGCCAGTGGGATGCACACGCAGGTGAGCACAAGCCTCATGATCCTCAGAAGGACGTGCGGGCCAGACTCGGGTCTGGCATCCGGGCCAGGCAGCTGGGGTGGGGGAGGGGGGAGAGCAAAGGCTCACTTCCGCGCTTCTGAAACTGCTCATCTCCTTTAGGCAAGCTTTCTGAGGTGTTAAAGGAGGAATCCTGAGGATGGACTTTGTTGGAGGTCTGGAAATCAGGTGAGTGAACTGTGCTACAGGAACAAGCCAAGTTCCGGTCTGAGCTCTGTATGTTTGTCTTGCTAGATTGGAGGACTATTGGATGAGAAAAGACAGAGCTGAGGGAGGCTCTGGCCACGCTGGGGGATGTGTGTGGGCCAAGGAGTTGGGAGCTACCCTGATGGTACTCCCCGTGGTAGTGCTCTCTGTGGGGGAGATCGTAAGGATGTGCACTGTGGTGGTGCTCCACATGGTGCCCATGGTGGCCATGGTGGTGCTTGCCGTGGTGGTGCTCACCGTGGTGGTGAGGTAGCTCAGGGTGATAGGACCCCATGGTAGTAGGCCTTCTGTGATGGTGGGCTTCCCGATGATGAGGCCCAACACGGTGATAGGCCTCACTGTGGTTGGGGGTTCACCAGAGTGGTGGGAGTCTTTACAGTAGTGAGGTTTACCTTGTGGATGGAGCCCACTCTGGTGGGGAGCCTCACTGTGGTGGTGAAACCCACCATGGTGGTAGGACTCCCTATGGTGGTGGGGGCCCCCATGATGTCTTCTGCTACCAGAGTGGGGCTCATCATCAAAGTGGTCCTCACCATAGGAATGGTGGGAGGGAACAGCATCATGGGGAGGAGCCAGGGAAAGGGATGTGGAGTGGTGGGCTCCGCTGTGATGGTGGGCCTCAGCGTGGCGTGGGGAGTAGGGGGGTGGCGGGAGTCGGGGGAGTTGGGAGAATGGCAGCAGAAGGCATTGTCACGGAAGTCTTGGAACTCACCAAGGTGCTGAGATCCACCAAGATGACTGGATACGCCATGAAGTTGGGACACACTGCCATGACGGGGCTCTTGATGGTGGTGGACTCCACTATGGCCTGGCCCGTGGTGCGGCGGTGACAAGCTGGGGTGAGGGAACACATCCAAGTCATTGGTGTCTGTCTCACTTGGAGCCTTTTCAGCCATCGAAGGTTGCTCCATGACTATGCTGGGAAAGCTGGAATGAGGAAAGCTCAAGACGTGGCCCCTGAAGGCCCCATCCTGTATTGCCTTTCTCACGTAGGCTGTGGCACTGGGCTCCTAGGAAAGCCCAGCTTCTCGTGGAATTCTCCCGTCTATGATGTCACAAGCAGGCCCCTTCCCAGGTCTGACTCCCAAGTCTCCTCCTGGGCTGCAGTTCAGAATCCAGGATCACTGCGTCTGACCTCCTCATTATAAAGAGAAGAAACCAAGGTCAAGAAAGGGGAAGGGACAGGTCCAAGGTGACCAGGAAGGTCAGTGGCAAAGCTGGACGAGGAATTCCAGGGTATTACCACAGACCCAGCAGTTGCTTTAGCTCTGTATTGGAAAGCACTTGAAGAGGTCAAATGGTCCAGTCCTCAGTTCTACCTAATACCAACTGGCTCTGGGGTTCAAATGGCCCAATTTCTTTAAAAGTAGGTGTGTGACTTTGGGCTAGTTGCTTAATCTTAGTATGCCTCAGTTTCTTCCTCTGTAAAATGGGAATAATAGCACCTACCTCATAGGATCAAAAAAGATATGTAAAGCTTATACTAATGGCACGATGAGCATTAATTGGTATTATTTATTCTCTCCTTGATCATTGACAGTGATGGAAACCCCACTCAGATTATCACTAAAGCTATCAGCCATTATTTATTGAAGACCTACTTTAGGCACTTTTAATTTAATCCCACAATAACCCCCCACGATGAATATCATTTTTCCACTTTACAGAAAAAGGTCCTGTGGCTCAGAGAATATAAATGAGTTGCTCAATAAATAGCAACTTAAAATCAACACTAACTCTAAACTTCTTCAGCACCATACTGGACTGTCTTCATGCTATAATCCACTGCAATTCATTCATATCCAGTGCAGCTCTTCTGGAAGCCTTCAGGTCCCTCCTTTGACTACAGCTGCTTCCTGAGTGCTTGGTCACAGCCAAGTCCATAGTGGCATGGGGTATCGGGTTCCCAGTGATGAAAGAGACAGGGCCCCTGCCCTCAAGGGGCTCACTGTCTGTTGCCAGCAGCAGACAAGGAAAGAGTTTGTGGTAGGACTGTTAATCGTTCCACAAATCCATTCTCCTCATCTTCCTGACATATGGCCTCCCAACTAGAGATGGCATTTCCTGAGGTGCCTTGCATCTAGGCATGGCCGAAGAGTGCAAGCAGAAGCTTATACACACATACATTCATTTTCATATTCTCTTTCATTAAAGGTTATTACAAGGTATTGAATATATTTCTCTGTACTATACAGAAGAATTTGTTTTTTTAATCTATTTTTATATATAGTGGTTAACATTCCCAGTGTTGTTTTTGAACTTTATGCTTTGTGATGCCAGTGCTTTCCAAGATAGACAGTCATTCAGCAGCCTCAGAAAACATTTGTTATCCATGAATGACTGAAAAGTTGTGCTGAACACTGGAATTTGACACAACACTGTAAAATGATTATGAATCAATAAAAAATGTAAAAAAAAAATTTGTTAGAGGTTGTTTGACCCCATCTGCAGTGCGCAGTGGGTGAGGCCTTTCTCAGTTTTCAGCATGAGATCAAGAAGTCTGTTGATCATTTGTGAGCACTGTATTGCCCCGAGAGGAAGAGGTAGACTGCTGACATCAGCTTCGCCCTCCTCAGTTACCTCCTCCCACCTCCCCTTACGACTGATGACTGACTTATGGGAGCAAACACACTTTCTGTGACAGAAAATCAGAGGAAAATTTTCTCCTAAAGAAATAATTTTTACGTGCTGTGACTCTGTAGTCCCTTTGCTGCTTTGTAGTTGATGTGCATGTTTTAAAACACGATCTATGCAGGTTAGAAGTGAATTTCAGCATGATTTCAGTATTTTTTTGCGAGTTTCCTGTTTAGTTATTTATTGTATGTCTTATTAGCGTTTGTGTTTTACAAATGTGTTTAACTACTCAATGTGGTGATATTTTATGACCAGTTGTGAAATGAAAGAGGAGATGCTTACAAATATCCTTAATTTGTTTGCTTATTGTGGACAAATCTGGTAGGGTTAGTGGTAAAGAATTATAATTTACAAACATAGCAATAGCATCAGCAAAATTGAAAAAAACTGCAAATTCCAGCCATTTGGCAAACAAATGCGCTAATTTTTATCTATGGTGTCTCGAACAGATTAAGGCTTTTATTTTATAGGTCACATTTGATAAAAAAAGCTCAAAGAGCAAGTTATTTGTAACACAATCTGTTGTCCAGAAGAAAAAGAACTTAATAATACTGGTATATAAAATTAGATGAGTGAAATGCTAGCGCAAAATGCCCCACAAAAAAGTGAGAAGGTTCTACTCTGAGAGAGAAGGATAACTTGACCTATTGATGTTACATGATGCCAAAGAGCTTTTTGTTTTGTTTTTTGGTAATAAACTGAAAAACAACAGATTCTTTATGCAGGCTGATGAGTCAACAGATTTCACTGATAAACACCATGCTGTAGCAGTTGTAAGATTTGTAAATGATGCTGATAATCAAGACTTTTTTCTGCTGCAAACAGCCAAGATATGGTTAATATTTTTTTCGTATCTATGGGGGAATGGTGTAGCTCAGTGGTAGAGCACATGCTTAGCATGCATAAGGTCGTGGGTGCTATCCCCAGTACCTCTGTTAAACAAAAAAAATGACAAATAAGTAAACGTAGTTACCTCATCACCTATATATATATATATTTTTTCTTCATATCTAGAATCAAAAAGGCTGTCTTGGAAGAACTGTCTTGGCATTTGAACAGATGGTGTTTCCATCAAAAGTTTATTCCATTAGAGTTTTCACTTCTCTTGCAAATAAAACCAAAATGACCCAAAGCCCAACAAAAAAAACTTGATGTCGTCACACACACTGCTTTCCTCATAGAGAGGTGCTGGTGTCAAAACTCTTGGAGATGAAGGATGCTGCAAAAATGGTTAACTTTACTGAACAAGACTAGTTCACTTGAGAGTGTTCAAAAAAAGCTGTGTGATCATGATCCAGCAATTCTACTTCTGGGCATGAACCAAAAGAATTGAGAGCAGGAACTCGAATAGGTATCTGTACACCCAGGTTCATAGTAGCATTATTTACAACAGCCAAAAGGTGGAAATAACTCAAATGTCCATGGGTGGATGGATCGATAAACAAAATGTGGTCCATACCTACAGTGGAATAGTATTCAGCCTTAAAAGGAAGGAAATTCTGAAAAAATATAAATAAAATTAAAAAAATTTTTTAAAAAGGAAGGAAATTCTGACAACATATTACACCATGGATGAACCTGAAGACACTATGCTAAGTGAAATCAGCCAGACAAAAAAGAAGAAATATGGTATGCTGCCACTTAAATGAGGTACCCAGAATAGGCACAAATAGGCACATTCATAGACACAGAAGGTTAAATAGTGGTTACAGTATTTATTTATGTTTATATTTATATTTAAATTTATATTTATATTTATAGACTATGGGAAGGGGGTGATGGAGAATTTTTGTTGTATGGAAACAGAGTTTCAGTTTGGAATGATGAAAAGTTCTGGAGATGAATTGTAGTGATGGTTACACAACACTGTGAATGTACACAGAGACCACTTAAACATGGTTAAAATGGTAAATTTTATGTTAATGTGTATTTGGCCACAATAAAGTTCTTCTTAATTTTAAAAATTGATTAAAAAAACAACTGTGTGACAACTTGGACAAACAGCACAGAGGTCTCTTATTCAGACATACAGAACCCTGGCGGCTCCCCACTTTGCACATGGGTCCATTGGGAACCACCAATCTGGCGGGGAAAGAGGCTGACTGAATCTAGGGAGGGGTCATCTTACCTAATTAGTGAAGACTCCTCCACTGACTGCCCCCTGATGGGCATTTATATGGAACATGAATAACTTCTCGTTCTGTGAGCGTTTTAAGAAGCCATCCATGGACCTCTCTCCTAGACCCAGCTGTGTTCTTTCCAAGTCTCTGCAAATGACCAACCCATCAGATACTGTTCAAGAGTCCAAATAAACTGTGTCTTAGGCCCTCTTTCCTCCCACATAACGTGGATAACATATGGATTGCCCCAAATTCTGCCCATCGAGAGGGTTTTTCTTCACTACTGTCTTTCAGGGGCTGTAATATAGCAGCTGTCCACTTCTGGCTGTTGCTGGCTTACTGTGCAAAGCCTTCCATAAACTGGGCCTGTGCTTTTCCCTCTTACCCTTGAAGTCTCTGAGGCAAAGGAGGTAAAGCAGTAGAAACAGATACCACAGGAGTCTGAACCACCTCCTCATGGAATTTATTTGTGTCTTCTGTATGTGCTTGGGCCCAGTATCACATATGCCACTTCAATTTCTAGTGGGATGCAACTGTAAAAATCTTATGATTGAACATTTGGGTCTGATAATCACTTCATGTTTCATAAATCAGGCATTCAGTCTTTATCAAGGCCCAGGAGGAAGTCAGCTGTTTTTGAGAAAGTACAATTGTTGTTGGCAGAGGATAGCCATGACCAAAATTCCAAGGGTCCTAGCTATGATGCGCCTATTGGGGCTTGCCAGAGATGCCACATGGCATCTTTGGCTGACACCTAAGTCAGGCGCCCAGATCTACTAGACATAATACCCAGATGGTAGGGCAATTTTGCACCACTGGACTTTAGAAGAGCTTTTTTCAGATCCAGACCAAACATCATCAGATTTACAGGTTACCCAGTAAATGAGTCAAAGCATCTTGCCCAAATATGATCTACATTGGCTCCAAAATCCAAAAGGCACACCATACATTGCTCCTCTTTCTTCATGGTGTATGGTGTAAGTGGCAGCAACTTGTCTCTTACTTTAGAAGGGATATCCAACATTCCCCAGACCCCTGGACCCCTAGGAACTTTCCTGATGTTGTGGCAGGACCTCAACCTTCCACAGGGTTCATCTCTGGCTGTCTGGCGCACATGTGTCTAAAGCACACAAAGTGCTTGCTGTTTCCTGCTCACC